TACAATTCTTTATGTGCGTCGGGAAAGTTAACAAGGCCGTAAATCAACAAAGTAAAGAAATGCTCATGCCTATCGATATTCATCAGATTTGTTGTTGGCCTCATTATTTAGAATCATATTGCGTTTTTCTGTTTCAACCAGGGATTGTTCATCTTCACAAGGTTTCGTATTGATATCAGAAAAAGGACATTTAACAGTTTACTCAATAATTTGTGTATTGAATATGTATAAAGTGGGGTAAATGTTACTACGATTGTGTGTCTCTGGTGGTTTTAGTGGGTCATACTACGTTGGCATCGACATGTTACTCAACATGTTCAACAAGGTCTAACAAGAGGTAAAATAACCTAGAATTCATAAATGATGGACCTATCTTCATCTGATGTATTTCCTTCTCCTCAGGTCTGCCCGCACATTTACTAGTATGTCACACTGACTGACGTTATCCCCATATACTCACTTAATATCTTCCACATATTTCAAAAGACATTGGTGAGTGATGACGTTTGTTTGCCCAAAGTATATAAGTTTCGTGAAAGAACATGAATATAAACAATCGACTGGCAGACTGGGAGCCTTGAGAAATGATAGAACGTGGCAAAATAGGCATACTAAAAGTTATGCATCTATATTAGTAAGTTAAGATGATACGATTTGTATCCCAAGGAAGGATATGATATCCATGGGTAGATATATTTTGCCTCCTCGGATGGCGAGGCCTTAACCCACGTTCGTTCTGTATGGTGTATATTTGTCTTTTATTTCATTATCAGATTCATTATACCACTGCATTGCAAATTCTTACATAAAAACGTATATTTCCGCAAAACTAAAAACTATTTTATTGGTCTATAACAACCTGAAAACAGTAGAGAGCATTTCTTAACGTTGGCCTTTATGTCGTATTTTGTCTAGAAGTATTGCCAGCTAGGTTTATTCATAGATTTAACTGCTGAGAGCAGAGCCAAAATGCGGAAACGTTTTTGCAAAACACATAGCAAAGTTCACTTGATTAATGGTCTTATTTAGAAATAGGAAGTAAGAGGGCAGAACCATTTACTTTCAGCCCCCCAAAACCAGGCCAATCTCAAAAGACCTAAAATCGTCCATTGTACTCTGTTATTTGCTTTGTTTGCTTGTTTGTTTGTTCGTTTATTGTTTGGAGAGAGCATTCATCTTAATCTATTAAGGTTTTTCAAGGTAGACAAGGTATGAATGAAGCAATACGCTGGTTTAACAGTATGGGAGCATATGCGGTTTTGTCGTAGTATAGTCATAGAATGCAGGCTACATCCCAAATGGCTCCCAAAGGAGCAGCGTCTATCATTCAACCACTCCCTCTTGAGCTCGTGGTACCTTGCTATTGCGTTCTACGGGATCGGTGAAATCGTACTCAGAACACAATCCCCTTTATCCAATTGTGCTCCTTTCTTTGACCAGCTGCATAAATTACCACTATACTTTGTGCTTTCTCTGCACGTCCCTTAACATCTGGTTCTGAGCGTCTATGTTTTGGAGAAAGGGAGTTGGAAGCACAGTTGGAAGACGACAATGGCTTGGCTCCCAGGCTTCTCTAAACCAATACACCAAAAGCTCACACATTAGACAAGATCGAAAGGTAGTAAATATAACCTTCCACAGTGAAGCTTAATGAAATTGTACTTTCCATTGTACAATGGAATGCTCCTCCATCCGGAGACCAAGGAAGACGTATATTGGTTTAACTGAAATGCATGTGTTTGGTGTGGCTACCAAATAACGATTTTCTGAAAATCTTATTCATATTTTAAGCACATTTACATCAAGTACCAGATTTTTTCCTGGAACGCTCATCTTTGATTCCAATGGTCCCTCCCTCAGCCTTAGGTCTGAAATGTGCAGTTATATTTTAGCGAAACCATATTTTGACCTGCAGAGGTGATCTCGGTAGAAATCTGAGAAAAACAAGCTTGTATGGAAGCCATCTGTGAAAACAAACCCAAGTATGTTATCTAGAACAGCGATACAGCATGCAGCACGAAATGTCTGACGGTTCATCTGGTCTCTCCTTCCCACAGCTGTACGTGGAGGATAGGAAAGGGTCATTTTGTTTTAGTAGTATGAAGATCTCACGCGGAACCTTGTACGTGAGAAACAAAGCTCTGTCTGTGATAGATGTTTATTCTGGTCTCATTCGAGACCCGGTAGCCTATTAATCTCTTTGAATGAGATCACTTAACGTTGAGAAACATGTAGAAAGTAGTTGTGAAAATGAGGAAATAGGGCACCACTTTGGGCAATGTTATCTGTTATATGCAACATTTAGTTTACGAAATACTTATTTATTTCCCCATTGCATAAGAAGGGTGATAAGAGGCAACCCCTGCAAATGTTTCCTTGTGTGTTATCGGAATCAGATTCTGCCGGGGATGAAGACAGCGGACAAGAACCACGTATGTGCACCAACACTCCCCAACCCTCATTCACTGAAAAACATCTCCAAGGTGACAAAGCTCTAGAAACGTAGCAAATGGTTTTTGAGCGATGGATCTTTTGAGTTTTGAATGGGTGAACAGTTCGGTAACCTCGTACTTTGTACACATGTTGATGAACAGGATGTAAATACATCTAAAACCCGAACATACGGATACAGACTGCAGACATCTTATCCATTTCGCCCGATTTTTCCAATTCTAGATTGTACCTTTCTTAAATCTTCTTTATTTAGCTCTGGCAGCTCGTGAATCATTTTTCATGGGGTTTACAAGGAAACACAAGGAAATGCTTTCGACGTTTTGTGGCCTTGTAATCTAAGACACATTGCCTATTTGGCAGACAAACTAGACTGTATCCAGCAGCTTTCATTAGAGACTTACTAAAGGCATGATAAATGGACTAAAACCCTCTACGCCCGTTGAATACAGCTTCAACAACGTTCTTTGGTTCTCATTTTCTTCCTGTTTTAGCCTACTGCCCCCCCCCCTTCTATGCAAATCCTAACACACGACTGTATTCTGTACGATACTGTATTCTGACTCACCCTGTGTGCCAGCCCATCTCTTAAAAATTCTAAAACGGTATTTAAAAATACAACCACAAACCAACTACAAACATAATGGGCAGACAAATATTTAACTAGAAAATACCAATTCATTTAGCCATTATTCAAACGAACAACCCATAGAAAGACCACACGGAATCAAGATATAACTTTGAAAAAGTGGACATCTTTTAAATCTGAAAAAATTGGACATTCCACATGTTCAATAATATCCATATTTGATCAGATATCTCAATTCTTTTTCTAGCTAATAAAATTAAGATTTGGTACTTTTTGAGATGACATTCTACACCCTCTATCCTTTTATGCCATTTACATCTCAAATTAATATGTTACACGGCCTAAATCACATGCCTATGGTGGTCTATAAGATATACAAACCCAAGGATACCCGCAACCAGAGACATTTTATACGTCTCTGCCGCAACAAATTGTGGTACATTAGATATGCATTTCAGAACCAAGTGTTTTGAAACTTCATGTCACGATGTTTATAGACATAAACATATATTAAAAACATTTTGTAAAAATTCACCATTTGGTATTGCATAAATCGACGACAAATCATAGTGTTGCATTGGGTATTTTTAAATCATGCTCTATGCAAAACTTTAGTTAACCTGAAACCTCTTTAAATAAATAAACCAGCGTGATATTTGTTATAAGTGCACGTCAGTCAGATAGGCGTAATTGTTTACATTATAATAATTATCATATGATAGCTATTTTAGATTGCATATGAAATATTAGAAATATATTCATTAACGTATTCATTAACAACTTAGAGTAACCAATGCGTACACATTATGTTATCATGATGAAAAACGATGGCGAGAATGGCAAAATAGATACAGGGTGTTCCAAAAGTAACAGGACTGGTGCTGGTATTTTGTTAAATATGCACCAATTGTCTTCAAAATTTTACATTATGTACTTTCAAGTATTGTTATTAAAACTGCAAAGTTTCAACAATTATCGTGAAACTCAGGTAGAGTTATGGTTGCTATGGTGGCATGACATCACAATACCCGGGGCAACATTCCATGCATAAAGTTACAGAGACTTTAAGCATTTTGTACATCCCATTTGTTAGGTTGAAATGCAACAACTGATGGGAATTACATTTGCTTTACATCATTTGATATCCCTAATGTATCCTCTACTTTGAAAAGCTTCCTCTTTAGTCAGTATAAGATTAGCATCCTTGAACCATGGCACAAACACATGCGAGTCATAAGCCTACCCATTTTAGGACACGTCACGGACCCTGCTGCAAGGTTGAATGGATAACTTGGAGATGGTCATTCTCATTGATGAGGGTTCTACTGCTGATTAGCATTCTATTCTCCATACAAGTAAAAATTAGATATTGCATGATAGGAGGAACATGGTGCATGGTCTTAGACCTCAAGAGCCAGCTCCTCTATAGCTACATTGGTCCTTAATGCTGACTCTTGGGTAGGCACGTTATCAATGTGGATGATTGGCTTCAAATTGGGTCTTTTCAAACACTCAACCATTAATTGTACAGACTGTTATACAAAGTGATATATGATGAAATTGAATAAATATTATAATTATGAAATCACACTTGAATCCGAGTTGTAGAGCAACACAATTATAACAAAGCAACTAATAAAACAAACAAGAAATGTTGTATTGTAATAAGTGAATTGGATACAGTCTTTAGCTATTCAAAAATGTTAGATATCAGTAATTTTCATGGAAAAGTTGCCCCGGGTATTGTGATGTCATGTTACTATAGTAACCATAACTCTCCTCGCATTTTATTATTTTTCTTGAAACTTTCTAGTTTTAGTTGCAATACTTCAAAGTACATTTTGTAAAAATTTGAAGACGCTTGGTGCAGAATTGACAAAACGCCAGCACCAGTCCTGTTACTTTTGGAACACCCTGTATGTTGGTCAAGGAGGTTAATTTTGTTTACCTTTATTTGCAGGTCTGAGGATTGAGGGTCAGACTGCATCGAGCAACAAAATATAGAAAATACAACACTGCGTAAACTTCTCAATATACAAAGCATATGATAGAGGTGATACCATCATAAATGCAGTAAATGCGTCAAAATATGAGCGCTAAATTACGTGCACAATGGACTGATGTGAGGAACTATGTATAGCAAGTCAATGAGCAGTTTGATTAACGGGAGCCAAGATGCATCGAATCTTAAACCTCCCAAACCGCCATCATGGCGTGATTTTGAAGGAAATGCAACTAAACCCAAACGGGACAAATCTGCAAATGGTGCGAAAAATATTAAATTCACAGATATTTCTCTTTTGTCTAAGTCTGGGGTTGTTAGTGAATTGCCCCCGGATGGTGCTCAGGCTGGAGCCCATGGTGCTCCCCCACTGCCTAAAAAGGCAAAACACCACAGGAAACATAACAGAGTCAAGAACAAAGCTAGGATACATAGGACACAGAGCCACCTTACGATTGAAACAGAGGAACTACCACGCGACTTGACAGCTAGTCTTGCGGAAGCTCAACCCATTGGTATACGAAATAGTTCCGTCAATGCTATCATTTACATGACAGAAAATAATAGAAAATGTGAGAAATGGCTTGAAGGGGTCGAAGATTGGGACCCCTTAGACGATAGCAGCTTTGCTCAGGGATCAGGCGTAGAAGTTGAGGTACCCGAGGAAAAATGGGACGATCATCTCAAGCCTCCAATAAATAGCAGTGCATCTAGTTCAAGCGAATCCTCTAATGATGCAACACAGAAGGACAGTCGCAATAATATTTCTATGTGTGCTTATACTACAGACAATCTTGTCAAAAATCTCCCCTCAAAACTTCGGAACAAACAGGTGCGAGCGCACAAGAAGTATGAGGAAACAACGTCGACCGCATCCAGTTCGCCTATAAGTCCCGAGGAGAACAACACTTACCTTACGTTGTCAACAAGGGCTAAATACGATTCAATACAACGGGGCAAACCGGGACCTAGTCATCAGAACAGAGCCAGAACACTACCAAAAGACCACTCAAATCCCAGATCTCTTCATTCAAAAGTGGATAAAAGTCCAACACACAGTCACCATGCAAAGCATAATCATATTAGAAACGAATGTTCAGAGTGTAAGCTTCAGGAAGAACAATGGACTATAGATCCTGCTATTCCTGGTCTAGTAAATCCTACAGCAAACATAACAATCCCGGGTGCAATACAAGAACATTTTCGTTCAGAGAATTCGAATTTCGATAAAGAAAATAGTAAGGTATTGAAACATTTTACAGAACTTCAGATATCTCCGAAAGTAAAACGGTCAAATAGAGTGGACGGTGGAAAGAATGGAACATTGAGCTCAAATGCAGTGAATATCATTGAATCTCCAATAATATCTGTTGAGGCGACCTCAAAACCAGCAACTGCCTAAATTTATAACCTCATACACATCAAAGTTCAAATAATCAGATAGAATCCTACCCCGGGAATTCTTCTTACCCATCGTTTTACTTGATACGTTTTGTTTAAACTGAATTTTCACGACACAGGCTTGTCATGATTAAATTATGTTTATTTTTACTTGGAAAAAGACATGATGAAATTTAAATCCCAAATTAGGAAACATAAATGCAAAGTTATGTAATGTAGTTCTAAACCCGGAAATCTCTCAGGAATTATTTATTTTAAACTGTTAATTCTTTGGGTTATTTTGTGATATAAGCTAATGCATAGTTCGTCTTTAACTGCTAGTACAATCGGATAATTTATAGAATGTACAATCTTGGCCACTAAAACCTTTATTTTCATTGTAAGGTTATATACATATAGCATAATATTAAATGAATTTATTATCATATGATTGTTAGTGTTAATTGGTAGACTTCTTTATTTAAATGCACCTCATGTCATTTCCAAGGTTCCAGAGTGTTTTGGAGATGTACGTCTGTGTACAGGTGGCAGCGTATTATTTCGAGTGTATATGAGTATACTCGATTTTTGGCCCTGCGAATATACCAATTTGTTTGCATGGCGTAAGCGCGCAATTCGAAATTTACAAAATTATTTAAAAACAATCGTTGAAGGACAATCAGGTTTTTGAAATGACACAGCGAAATGCGAATGTGATTCTCTTGACTACATGGAATGCAACCGTGTTGACCCTCAACTCAAGAAAAGACATTCACCGATCACTACTATTCGAGTCAATATTTACCGTGCGATTATTTACAGGCGAAACTGAATCCATGTTTACTTTTTGTATTTGATGGGCCAATCTAGTCTAAGAAGGTCTTATTTAATAAGTATGAAAATCATGTTTTTTAAATGCAGAGTGTCGAGTCGAATGAATATCCGAGGACGTACTAGACTATGGTTTTAACACTTAATCCTGTAGTATAATGGGTGGAGACATTTCGGATTTAATAATCAGTATAAAATTATCGTATGTTTCGAGAATATTAAAGATAGAATGACCTCCAACCACTATGATGACGTATACAATGAATTTAAAGACACACCCATTCGCAAATCATATATATCTTTTTTGTATGTTTTAATAATTTACAAACTGCCTTCATGACGTCTTAATAAAGAATTATGAAACGCTTGTCATGTGCATTGTTATAATGATAATAAATGATGTATCCAACAACCCATTAATATTCTTCAATTTATAATTACAAAATGTATTAAAATACGTCAACATAGAGAGTATTCACGAATTCATTTAGATATTGTAAATATCAATTAACTCTTGACAAGAATACGTGCGTTTTACTGATATAAAATGAATGGTTTGGCATGTTATATGACAATTTAATTAATAGAATTTGATTAAATACAACAGTCTATAAAATATAAGTTAAGTGAAATTAACACTTAATTGACAGTTCGTGCAAAATAAAGTCACAGACATTATACGAGGGTTGACATATTTGACAATTTAAATTACATTTTATTCATCTTGTAAGAACCTTTCCATTACCGTGTAGGTCCCTACGTTTCCTCTGGGACATTCACTTTTAATAACACAAATCACAGTATCCTTATTTGCTTGGTAAAATTCACCCATTTGAGATGGTACGAGTATATACATTTGTATATAAGATTAGGTTTCATTGTGATCCTGAGGAATAGATTCTCATGCAATTCATTTAAAAGAATTAATTTTACTGCATTTTAATTATAGAACGTGATACACATTATATCGCACTTCGATATGGACATCTAGAATACATGAACATACACATAAAAATGGTACATATAACACCCCCGGGGATAAATACCAAATATTCCATTATATTGAGGTAAATACATGTTCATCTTTCCCTCAGTATATTTCCCGCAGCCCGAAGGGTTCGGAAAGACATTTTATTTCATTCTCAAGAATTGGTAGAAATGAACACAAAACAATTGCAATAGAAAACAAAAAATGTTAACAAAAACAGTTATATAAAATATATGTAAATAATTTTCGCATTCAATTGTTGTCAATCAATCAACCTTACAGAAAGGACCGTGTTTTTTACAGAATGTTTTCAATAATTGGTTTAAGATAAAAACATTGTTTTTTCAGTTCACCATATCGATACGTATCCTTTAATTTGAGAATTCATTAGGGATAAAATTAACAAGAAGAAAAAAATTCTCAATCCTAGACATTTTTTTGCAAATGCCATCGAATGAAGAGTAAGCCGTATCCTACGCTCAGAATCTAGTTATAAACTACCGAAGACGACGCTCTCATTTTAGAAGTGAAGTCGAACGAATGCAAAGGGTAAGTATAGTCAAATTGTGCTGCCATCTTTTTATCGCTCCAGTATTGTTTTGCTTCAAAGAAATGTTCATGCAGTGCAGGGTCCTCCTCCGAACGCAGGGCTCCAGCACACCTTCTAATTCATTCTTTGGGGTACGATTTCATCTAATTTATTCTTTGGGGTACCATTTCATCTAATTCATTCTTTGGGGTACGATTTCAGGAGACCCGTTTCTTCGGATGAGGATACAAGCCGGTTAGCCACTACACAATGCCAATAATCCAACTGTGGACAAAGAGTCATCTTCGTTCCCTCGGCTCCCGTCGGTCAGTGAAGACCGAGCGTGCGAAGATGCAAAGAGTCGAAATAGTGGTACCTACTGCATTTTTACCTTTTAAAGCTAAAAACATGCATTCCGATTCCGGAATTTGGGGTTCGGAAGAATAAAGACTAAAATTCTAAACGCTTTTTTGCTTTTAATATTAATGAATATGTTTTAAGTTAAAACCATAGATCACGAAATCATATGGCCAAATAATATTACATTATGAATATTCGTCCAAAGCATTATAGCAGGGAGCCATCTTTTGCAAGTAATATAAACTGATTTCCTGTGAATTCATTTTCTGTCGGATCTTTAGCTCAATTATAAAGATGTCGCCTTACTACGATAACTATCACTGGGATAATTTGTACACACGTTTATGTACCTTAAAACACGCACATGCGTATCCTCAATGTTTTAGAAAAAATATTTTTGTACAGTACAAATAAATAGAATAGAAATAGATAAAGAGGGCTCTGATAGCCCTAAATCAGATCACCCATTCTAATACTCATCACCTCTTTTTTGTTTTTCAACTAGAAACGAATTAATAGAATGGCAAAACTTTTCATGATGAGGATCACCAAACTTTGCACAAGTACCCCCCTCCCCCAGGCAGGATCTGAGTTGAAAGGGGAGGGAATGGGCACCAATTAATTGGTTCTTGAACCACCAAAATATATGTTTGTGTGCTTCGGAAAATACCAGTGTTAAAAGTGTGAGGGTGAAAGTGTTGCTTCGAATGGACGAGATCTTTATTTTCTTTTGTACGTGCATGATTGATTGAATGAAAAAAAATTCAATTTTGTATTCACTACATGGAGATTAGATTAGATCACATGTACATTCAGATTGCGGCAAATGACAACGACACTGTCTATAAGATTTTCTTGGGGAACATTTCACCTAGTAAGATTTACCCGTGGTCTCCCATTTTTCAATCAAGGAGCCCCTCCCAATTCGAAATCCGGGGTATGACATGCGTATATTGGAAAAATAGCCGAGCTACGCCTCTAACCATAACTCAATTGTTGATTTGTTGCTAACTCCGTCTACTGACACTGAGGTCCGACAGAAAAATTACTCTGGGCCTTTGATCCATACTTTAGTTTTGTATCACGTTTTGATTTGTGTTTCAATTTTTCCTTTTTTTGATTTCTCACCGTTGTCAACTGAATGGGCAATGAAATACTAAATGTACACTCCCCTCCATAAATTTGACAACTGAAAGTTTTTATCTGATAGTATATAAAAGCCTATCAATGTTTGACTCTTATTTGTGTACCTTAATTAATCCTACACATGTTTATTGTTTACACAGTCTTAATGCAATAGTTCAGAAATGTACAGGCACAGATTTCTTTTAAATCGGCAATCATGCTGAACAGACTTTGATAAGAGATCTAAACTTATGGAGGGGAGTCTTATCATAGTTGACATAATATCGTGTATGATCGCATGTCATGACAATAAGGAAGAATAAAAGCAAGACACCACACGCACATACAAGGATGAGGAAGTCGTCATGGAAACAATAATAATTCTGTTTCTTGATAATAAGACACTCAATGGTCGTACATCTTAACTGTAAGCCGATACCCCATGATCATTTGTTGATACTTGTGACTATGAGTTCAGGATATTCTGTGGCTCTGATGTCAAAAGATATAAACATGGCATTGTATGATAACAACTAATTACCAGAAGTACTTTTGCTATGAGTATAAGTATCAGCGAAATGTGACTCTGTTAATTTATTATTCATGTTAGTTCGTTAGCAGTGATGGGATATTCTAGATAATGAAACAATTTAAGATAAACTTGACACGTGAAGTACGTGAGATATTTATTTAATTTTATTTGATAAATACAGCAAACATTCGTTGCTATCATATTGTAATCAATTATGAATTGTGTAACAGCATATATACGCCCTTGGGACATTGTACAATATTTTAGAAAAACTAAAGAATCTACAGTACACTACTGACAGTGACAATACAGCAACTGTTCCGATGGATTATCTTTCCCTATACCGTTTGAACTTATAGTTGTTCCTTGTATTTGCTGTAAAAACTTCTTGGTCTATAGCCATTTACCATTGGCAATTGTGCTTATGTAATTAATGCAGAAAAGACTGTTTATAAGAATGTAACATTTTGTTCCATCTAATCTCCCCGTACCAGATACTCTGGATATAAGCCAAATATAAAACAGTATATATTACTATAATAAAATATATCAAATTGTTTCGAAAAATTGTCTGTTTTTAAAAAGGTTCCAGGGCTTTCCAGGGGCCCAAAAATTGAAAAGTGCTCAAAATGTTGGAAAGTTTCCATGGTTTTGGTCAAGGGGGTCCCCCTGAACCACTCCATATAATGCCCGATGAACGTCTAACTGTAAACAGTTCTCTAAACACCTTCGATTTTAAATTTATATCTGGCAAAAACGAACGGGCGAATCTGGACATTTTGCAACTTAAATACTCAAGCTTCATTATGGATAGTTGACAGTTATGTTATGGTTCTAACATTTTCCAGTCATTATCCCTTCTTATTCTTTAAGATTTTTTTTTTGAAACAATTCAACTAATATGAAAAACACACTGGAGAAGCAATGTAATCTGTGGGAGCAATGATCAACTTAATGACCACGGAATGGCTTATTTATTTCTTTGCAATTTATTCATAAAAGCCCTGAATGTAAAGACCTACTTATTATTGTAACTTAATTCAATATTGTTTTAGTTCTTAAAGCACCGTGGCACTTCAATTGCTCTTTGACACAATAGTTAAGACCCTTGGTGGGCTAATAGCTGTATAATACATATTTAATATTTGGTGAGTTTGACTGCTTTGTACAACGTTTCAAAAATATAATGATATGGCAATTAATTGAGCAAATACCACTAACAGTTGGTCAAATTGAAATGCCCTGTTCGTTTGCACACCAAGGTTTACTTTTTAGAAATTCCCTGTAATGAAATCTTATGTACATACATTGATAGGGCTGTATTGGACGTAACGGAACAACAGTGTATGCCCTTGAATTCATTTAGACGCCACGCATTCTCTCTATATCCGACGGGGAGTGACATTATGTGACATGCAATTGTCCGAGTTGTTTTCCTTCACTTTAACCTGTATTTGTTGCATTTCCTTGTATATTTTATTTTGCAATACAGAAAGTATATTATTTGAACAAATCAATCGATATAATATCTTGGATAACCGTAATAACGACTTATTGGTATTTAATTACCAAAACGTATGTCCTGCCTTGGAACCATATTTATTTATCTATCATTAATCCAATGTCTTATCTTTCCAATAAATGTCGAAATAATTCGTAATTAATAAAGTATCAATTAACTTGTCAAGACAAAGGCCCATTGGAACATTTAATTTGTATTTGTATAGAAATCAGAGCTAACAAGAGCATATGTCTAAAAACTAATACTTGAGTACTTGGTCAATAATAGATTTCCTATTGAAGCATATTATATCAAATAAATTATAAGAATCATTGGTTTGCTCAATATATACTTAGAGGCGACAGGCTGTTCTTAAAAAGGACTTTGATGATCCGATTATTAAAAAGAAAACTCGGGAAATACAGGTTGTAACATCATACTGCCAATAAAACCATGGCTTGTTTTCAAAACTTTGGGAAAACGAAATGCATTGAGTGATATTCGTATATTCCGGGATATATGCAGAAATACGCAAATTGGTGTCCGAGTTTATTTTATTTAGTGTTAATTTTCTGTCAATGTACATGTTATACTCCAATCCTGAGTCTCAGTCCAATCTAACTATTCATAGGTCACCTTGTTTCGATATCTCTATTTTATCGTCAATAAACAATATTACAAAACACTTTGAACACAATTAAACTAATACTTCTAATCATATTGAACACTGATTGACCAATCCTACATTTCGATAAAAGATATTATTTATAATGCCTTTAAAATAGAACAAAATAGAAGTTTGATTACACATAAACAGGCACTTCTGATTCAAGTGGGCGATAATATAGTACAGGTAACTAGTTTATCATATTAAGAGGGACAAGGAGGTATACTACCTGTAATATTTCAAATTAAACACTCATTAAAAAGAGATCCTACTCGAAACACAGACATGTTGGCTCTGTTTTAGTGATAAGAGAACTTCAGTGACATATTGACGACTAAAACTCATGATAAATTTTAAACCTACACCTGAATTGCGCTCAAAGGTTATCAAAAAAGCTATTGTGTAGTGTATTTGGGACTGTGTATACTTATAAAGGCTCAGTTATTGCCTATCCTCAACTTATTAACATAGCTATTAAGTGCCACGATAATATTAATTAATAAAAAATACTTAATTATATATTTTGATTTGCTTTCAACTACAAAGATAGTGGAAAACATAGTCAAGGGTTATCCATTTGTAAAGTTGTGACCTCCTTATTGTGAGGCAAAGTCTCAACAATATTCTTATTACGAGTATGTACCAAGATAGAAATATAAAGTACATTAATATGCAAACCAATTTTATCCTGCATTCTGATTGGTTAAATAAAGCTGAATATATGCTATACATATTAATATATACCCTTCCACGCTTTTTGTCAACAATTTTGGGAAACACATGTATTTCTATATATTAGCTAGTATTCTGTATTGTATACGAACTGATGGGATCAAACCTCAATATTTTAAAAAGCCTTTGAACGCTCCTATATTTCTGTCTTGAATATGTTAGTGTGCCCCCTCCCCGACCCTTTTTCATTGTATAAGTTTTAAATGAAGATGGATTTTCATAGTTGCACAACATGCACATAACACGGAAGTCAAAATAATGGTATAAATATATTTGAATAAATACAAATAATATGAGGTTATATAATGGTCCATTCTGTATATCGTCGTGTACATGTATAGTTGTATATGTCTGTTGTATTTGGTTTATGACAGATATTCATAGGTGAACCTAGCAAACGAGTGGACATATCAAATACCCATAATATAAAAAAGCACTACACAGAATGTACCATTATATAAGCTTGTGTCCCTCTTAGAATATCTATAATGGTCGTGTACCAGTCATTATACGATGGAGTTCTATACGATAATGGTATACCACTCTACTATGTATATCACTGCTATACATCCAATTATAAATCAACCAAGTGTGGTATGATAGTTATTTACAAATATTCGGTAAATAATGTACAAATATACTCACGACTAATGAATCAATTAAAATGAAATATTTTTTAACTAATGACATTTTGTTCAGTGATTTAGATGTCCTTTTCCTAGAGGACAGAGCACCTTGTCCATTTATGTAAGATTTTCTGATCTGGTACTTTCTGAAGTATTCTTTGGCAAAATATTATTTGAGAGAGAATGTTGTCTAACGATGCACGAAGTTCATTTTTCCTTGCATTTTTCCAGTTTTTAATGTATATTTCAGTTTATACATCAATTATCTCGTCATGGTCGTTTTCGTCATCACTTATACTGCCCTCATCCTCAGAATTGTCAATTACATGCTCCGATGTGGAAGATAGTGTTGTAGATGGATTGTCAGCATTTGTGGTATTGTCTTGAGAATCTGGAGACTCCTAAACAAAAATTATCCACCATTTTAATTTTCTCACACATATATTATTTAAAAATCAGGTCAACACAAGTTAGAAATATATCTGCACTACTTTCGAATAATTCAACCAATTATAAATGTTATACCAGTCTGCCAGTTCTTGAAATTTAGAATTGTGTTCTAGTAATATGAAAATTCAAAATACCTGTTTTAATCTACGCCATTTTGCTCTCCGATTTTGAAACCATGTTTTCACCTGTAAGTATAACAATACATGTTGACATAAGACTTATTTTATACCTACTTCTTCGAATTCAATATCTCTTTTTGGTAATCAGCAAGCCTTTCTAAAAATGATCGTACCATATTAGTGCTTTCTAAATTTTCATGATAAACATTAACTAGTTTTTTTTAATTATTGATTGTTTTGTTTCTTGTTTACCACCATATTTGGAGAGGAATATTTTATTTTATCCTTGATATGTTTCACTCTAAACCTACTCATTTACAAAGGAAAATAGACCTTAAAATATCTCCTAATACGTAACAGAAATTTGCACACTCTACCAATTATATCAAATAGTTCTGTTATAGGTACCTGACGCTCTGTAAGTTGTAGCAATTTAGCAATCCGTTTCCGTTCTGGCGGAGAAAGGTATTTTTGACTATCAAATTTCTTTTCTAGCTCAACTGTCTGGTCATTTGAGAAGCGCACTTGTCCCCCTTTTCTTTTATGACACGGTCTCTGGAAAGGGAAGGGGCTCCAATGGTATTGGTATGGTTGTTTTTGCATTCCAACTGAAACGGAAAAACAAGAGTTTTGATATTAGAAAGATGCTCTTTTATTCCATGAGTAAAACATGCTATACTTTTACTAATAAATCAATCGGGAAATGGCATTAGAAAGATGTTCTTGTATTCCATGAGTAAAACATGCTATACTATTACTAATAATTCAATTGGGAAATCGCATTAGAAAGATACTCTTTTATTCCATGAGTAAAACATATACTATTACTAATAATTCAATTGGGAAATGGGATTAGAAAGATGCTCTTTTATTCCATGAGTACAATATAGTGTAGTATTGCTCAACTCAATGGGGAAATGGTAGTTGCTGGAGGATTACTCTTTGCACCCACTCTTCACTCAGGTGAATGCTTTGTAGAGGTCAATTGCAATAGCAATTTAGCAACAACAAAAAACATGAAAAATATAAATGAGATGTCAATGAGCACTTAGCTTTTGAGATTCTAAACTAATAAAAGGGGTTATATGAGCTGTATGTACACTACTTGCAGGTTCCTCTCACATTAAGTATGTTGTAATCATGCTTAGATGTTCAAGCAGCAGTCTTACGGTATAGTCATTTTCAAACATTCAAAGTCCTTATTCAACACACTTGTCGAGACTTGGTGGTCTTATGCCTTTGCAAGATTGGTTCCAAGTGGCTAGATGGTATTTACAGAAGCCTGATTTCAATTGAATGTGAGCAGGGGTGTTGAGCTCAACTACTCAGATCATGTAAACTGATCCAATCTTGAGAGACAAATCATAATGTTTGGACAAAAGATTTTTTTCAAGAGCTACCTCAAGTATTCCGAGCTAACACAATGCTAGACTCAAGAAAAAACACTTCTAATTGTTCACAAATTGTTAGTGCTGAATAGAATACTCGACTTTATGAGTTATGATTTTCAAAAAGTTGATTTTTGTTATCATTTAATATTTTTGGGGTGTATATTTCGTCTCAATAGGCGCATGTAGTACTTAAATACCGTATCATATATCTGACTAACTATCATTTTTTCATATTTGATGAATAGAATTAGAGTTATGCATTAATTATTTGGTAAAATACAAACAGCCAAATATGTTTCAGCATATCATTAAATTAGTAATATTTAATATAATACATAATTACATATTTTTTCAATCACAAATGTTCAATATTTTATCGGATTAGTTTGAATTGAGTTTTTTCCTTGTCCTTGATCACAAATCTCAACAATATTCATGTGTCATGATAGCGTTGATTCCCTTACAGTATTCCCTTTCAGATTTGTGTTAAGACAGGACATGATCAAACTACACCCACCTAAACGCCAGTCTCTTAGAAAGAGATAACAATTTCACGAAGAGTATTCATGTCTACATAATTGAGATGTATTAGAACAATAGCTTAGAATATATCTATAAACACAAACAAATTCCACAGACATTTGGATAAGGGGTAGCATTAAAATTTTGAAGTATCGCTATACTGGAGACACACTCTCTCTATATCACTGATAAGCCATTAATTTTAAAAGGATTTTCATAAAATCATATTTAAATTGCTAAGTGTATCATAATATACAGATACGAGCTGATAACTTGTAAATAGTAATTGAATTGAACAAGGGATATAAGCGTAATTTTATTAGATAGATAGATACTAGTCAATGCAAAGATAAGTTAACTTTAAAATAACGATTCTATATGAGCAATGTAACCGAAATAATTAAGTTAATAAATGACAAATTACACGTATTCTATAAATAAATTACGTATATACGGTATAAGAGTTTGACTTTACGTCATTTCGCGCAGTGGTAAAAACTCATTTTAATAGAGATAAGTTGTATTCCAATGATATATGTATAAATTCTATATATAAATGGACTTATCTATTTCACTCGTGTTTGAAGTTTCGTACTTTTTCAAATTGGATCTCAATTGATTGTCAACTAAGGTACCTGTCACTTAGTAATGATATCAACGTTTATGGTTTTAGTCTGACTTTTAAAATATTTCTGTCTGTTTCACCAACTCACCAAGCATCAATTGGTGACAATGGTATAATAATTATTAAGTAATAACCATAAACATGGATTGGTTTGAGATTATTTACATGTTTGAGATTATTTTAATTCTTTTGGCTCCGATGTGTTGAGCCTTATGCCATTATGTCTGAGCATGGTTACGATGTAAAATAAAAGATAAACTTTGTCACGATTTCCATTGTTACATAGTCAAATCTTTGAAGAGATACTATTCAATGACACAGATAAGATCCCCAGCACCTGAGTGTCTTAAACAAAATGTGATTTTGCCCGTCAGATTGGCACCGGTCTGGAGGAGGACCTAGATCATCCTAAAAAGTTTTAATCTAAAACTATCAATATACACTCCCCTCCATAAGTTTGGCAACCTTTTTTCCCCCATTGAACTACGTGTTAAAGCCTCTTTACCTTTGAATTTTTATTTACTTAACCTGCGATGAAAATACTTATACTATTGATGGAAACGTAATTTGACTTTAATTCCAATACCTCCAAATTTTCTCAATTTTTTCCTCAATTACAGTAGGTCGAAAATTGATGATGAATTTGATGAATTTTTGAAAATCGACATTTCCATGTTAACCAATGGGAAATGGTAGGTTTGCCGCAAGTCATATGACAGAATATCCATCCATCCGAGTCCTTGCAAAAAATACGAGTTAGGCAGGTAATTGAATTTGCTAACTTTATTTAACAAAAAATTGATATGTTTCTTCAGGTTTAACAAAGATATAGGGCTTTAAAGTCAAAATTGTTTTTCAAAAAACCTCTCCCATTGAAATAACACAGGAGGCGAAAAATTCTTTTCAAAAATGACTTTGAAGCGCTGTAACTTTAATATTCATCAAATAAACTAAACACCTAGTGTTCAAAAAAGTTAGACAATTCAATTTTCTATATGAAAATATTTTTTGCTGAGTCTTTTACTGAAAAGATATTCTGATTTCTGATTTGCCCCGAACCCTCCATTTCCCATTGGATTACATGGGAATGACGATTTTCAAAAATTCATCAAATTTATCATCAATTTTCGACCTATTGAAATTGAGGAAAAAAATTGAGAAAATTTGGAAGTATTGAAAATAAAGTCAAATTACGTTTCCATTAATATTATAAGTTATTTCATCGCCGGTTAAGTAAATAAAAAATCAAACGTAAAGAGGCTTTAACACGTAGTTCAATGGAGAAAAAAGGTTGCCAAACTTATGGAGGGGGGTGTACCTACATAAAATAAATTGTAATACAAATAGAATTTAGAAACACACAATACACTCTAAACCAGCTGAAAATCTGTAGGCGTAACTTGCATTCTCAAGATTCAATTCGATCGTTCCGTACCTTCACTTATAGAGGAGGCACGGATTGCACTGAACGAAGGCTCGAAGAAGGAAAGGAAATAATCTTTGTTTCCAGAGGCCAAATGTCACTCGAGGCATTTCCATTTTACAAAATCAACCAGATAAAATAGAATAATAAATATCGTTAAATATATAGTTTAATATTAAGTAATAGATTAACATAATTTTTTCACTACAGCAATTGGTTTGTATCTAGATTTGTGAAAAATGTAGGGTAGTTAAAGTCTGATTTTTGATAATAATTTTTGGCGTCATGCAAGGCTCATTTTTCAAATATTCATTTCTTAAATATATGACTTAGTGAAAAAGGGAGCATTCGATGATGGAGTGGATACGAAAGCGTGACCAGGGAGGTGCCACTTATTAGACGATTTAGAATTCTTTAATTAATTTTAATCCTCATCATTTTTTGACAGGAGACCTCTTGGTTATTTTTCTGACTGCACACAAATCAAAATTAAGCCGTTTTCATGGTCATCAGGAATTCATTTTTATGGAATATATCACACGATATCAGATACTCACGAGATGTGAATAGTAAATTATTTGCATCTTACCTTGATGCAGGAACATTATAATACTTTTTGAAGTTCTGAAGAAAAGTTGCAATAACTTGCCCGGTCCAACATCGGTAGCTGCGTATATCAAGGATGTTATTACTTAAAGTTTTTGGGCCCCGTTCAAACTCCCTCTACATATTCCATCTTTTAGAAACCTCAACTCCCCTTTGACTGAATTCAGCCCATCGTTCCAAGTCACCCAGCACGTCAGAACAACTTGTCCAAATATGTTCTTATTTAGATATCCTTAGTATTTCCCGAACACCCAAACTCTCAATGATCCAACCATCCAAGATGAGATTGGTATAAATTTTCCAGCCATCTCCATTGGCTCCAGATTCAGGTGGTTTTCCTCAATACAAATAGTAGGAAAATTAAATTGAATTTGGTGAAATTTTGAAAAATGTCAAACATAAAGAAGCTTTAATACTTAGGTACAAAGGGGGAGTTGAGGTTTCTAAACTTTTAGAGGGAGTTTGTATAATCTTATTATCTTTGTTGTAACACCATGGATTACAATGGTAACTTGTTCACTTGACGGATATCCGTTGGAAGAAAAGAGATGCGATGAGTATCAGAATGTTATTGTAAAGCTGTACGCCTACACAAATCTTTTATTTTGTTAATAAAGTTCCGATTTGTTCATTTTCAAGCGATTGGTTTCCAATGTTCTGGAGCATTTCTCTATTGATGATATTTAATGAGTTCTAATTATTTGTTTTTTAACGTTGTACGAGCGTAGATAGTTTGATATTGTTTGAAGACATTTCTTTTCTAATTTTTTGATCTTGCAACGTATTAATGAACCCATCAATCGGAATATGATTCATACAAAAAACGGCATTAAAATGGATAGTTAAAAATTGTAGATTTGTAATGATTGGTTTGGTAAATGAAGTAAAACCTGATTTGAGTAAATTGGATAATAATGTCAACGTTTGAGCCATTTTGATGAAAAGGTTTGTAAAAATCACGAAACTACTTAATTTTGAAAAAACGCAATATCGTTATTGATTTCTCACATTCGGGTTTTCTTGAAATCTTTTATGTAGTTTAAGAATTGTATTTAGGTATGGCAATGAATTATATGAAAAGTTGCCTACATGACTGTCTTTTGACTTCCGTGTTTGATTGCCCCTTTAAAGATCTATTCTACTTAAGGCTGTTTTTATTGAATTATAAGGTTATCGTATCTCGTCATCTGCACAAGGAAGATGAGAAATGGTCCTATTTTAGTACATAGTTTCGATTAATTAATTAATTATAATTGACGAATCACGAAAACATTTTCATGTCATCTAACAGGAATGAAAATATATCAATTTTATAAACGTTCCAATCTCCTACTTCAACGTAACAATCTGATTATTTAAAACATCATTGATTAAATTTCGATTTGTAAGAAGAATTATTTAAAATTGAAATGTTCATTCGTATATTTGCGTTAACAATAAATCCCCTCGCTTCTCAAATTTAATGTTTAAAATAATTTTATGATAATGTTTGGTAGCTATACCAGGCTATTACCCTAGGTAGTCTCGTCGGTTTTAGCTGAGACTAACATACATGTTAGTCTCAGGTTTTAGTTTCTTGTTCCGAATAGAATATTAAAAATCAAAATAAAGAAAAGACCTGAACGTTCTGCTACTGCAGTCTCAGGAGATACAATTGTATAAAATATTGGTATTTAATGCAAATGAAATAACATTGTTTTACTCACTTTTATATGGGTTATATCGTGGGTCCACGTATCCATGGACGTACTCTGCTCGTGGGTAGGCAAACATCGTTTGAGTTGGAAGGCCTGGGACGTGTTGATATCCTCCGGGAAGTTGTCCCGGGTGTAGATATGATCCGCTGGGTATGGCTCCAGGGTCGTACATTGCGGGAATGGGGGTTGGTTTGAGCAAAGATGAGGGCGTCACTAAGGTGGTGGCGTCAACCACTGCACTGTGAGAATAAGACGGATATGTCGATGAGATGGGACCCACTGGACCAGCCATTGAAATAGACACTCTAGGTGTAACTGCTGAACCTTCTCTGAGTTCTAAATTAGATATCGGATGAGTTGGGGATCTTTCTGCTGGACGTGTAAAAGGGCTACGGGGCCTTTCGTATTGTTCTCTGGATGGACGGTTGTGTTCCCTTGTATGTGGGCTCAAACTTGGCCGTCTCTGTTGAGGTGGCGGAGTGAATCGTCTTTCTCGATCAGGTCTTTCATTTGATCTTTCTTTTGAGTCATGCTTATCTTTTCCACCAAGGATGTCATCAATCATGAACGACTTTTTTGGTGGTGGGCGATATCCTATATTGATAGCCGGCTGACGGTTTGGATTCGATTGACTAGCTATAGATGTTGGCTGTGACGCAATCACTCCAACCGACGGAGCATAAAACGGAGGAATACCCACTCCGGGCATTTGTCCAGTCCCGATATGGTCGTAATGCTTTAACATTGTCAAGATGCGCTTCTTTATTGTCTTCTTCTACAGTATTGTCAATGGTTGTCTGACTGGCAGCAACATGTGATCTCGTATTCCAGCTCAAACTACTCGATTTGCGCACTGTATCGTATTTTATGATGTAGCCCGTCTTGTGATCAGGTGGTAGTTTAGAAGTACTTAATAGCTTGTTTAACTTTTTATCAAAAAATATCCTCGTGTCTCTGTTTGTTCCTTAGTCTTCTGTCTGCTAGTGCAGTGAAAAGTGGAGACGGGTACCTCTCTGTTTCCAAAACATATCACTCAATGTCCGTTCATTTCAATGTGACTATAAGCCCCCTGACAAATCTTAGCCAAGAATGGAATACGATATTCACTTTAACTTTGCCTTTTGCCGTAAGTGGAAAATCAAAAACTGGTGAGATTTAGTCACATTTGATTAACGGAAAACTTTGCCGAACTCGTTTACTTTTATGTCGCGTTGGCTAACTACAGTTTAGTTTAACTTTAGTTTTCGTCTTTTGTTTTAACCGATACTTATGATTGATCATTAAAGGGGGACGTTTGATTAGTTCATACTGAAGTAGGGACGTGTTCGTCAAGATAAAAATGAGGACGGATTCGGAAAGTGGGACAGCTTTAATAATGTTCAATGGCCACTTCTTGGTAATAATAAAAGGGCATACGGATATAAACAAGGCAAAATGTCACCCAGAGATACTATAGTACCCAAAAAATGTTCAGATCCTCGAGATACGGTTTCCCACATGGGATATGTAATAAGACTCTGAGAAACCACTGGCTCAAGTTTTAAACTTCAAAAAGACGCGTTAAAAGGAATCAATGTCATATGGAATTGCTGTGCATTTTCTAAGTTAGCTTATTCCCAGTCAATGGTCCACGAGGGTCAGTTAGGAGCCTAGGGCCACATAGATAGAGGACAATTATCCCCGAGAAAGAACTTAATTTAACACCGGATTTATACCAGGAAGAATTTCCTCAATTGCAATCGAATTGAATGAATTCTGAATCCGCTACGGACTAAGGGCCTAATTGATAAGTCATAGAAAGCAATGATTGGTCATTCGACTCTAATAACCTGGGGAATAGCTCTCGACAAGTACTAAAGGTAGCTCGCACAATATTTACATTTGGTTTGTTCACTTTATCGACTCCGCCCAGTCGGTTTTATTGAGAAAGGCAGGGGAGACATGGCCTCCCGAAACACGTTCCTATTCAAGGCTGTTGAAACTTGAAAATGGTAGAAATTCGATCTTCCCATTGATGATTTCATAGTAATTTTGTTCGATGTAAAAGAACGTTGATCTGTCTTTAAATTGAAAACATGGTCCGTTTTATAGGTCAAATTTCACGTCTTCTTGGATGATTTCTATTAAAAATTGTATCTAAACACTTCAATTGAAAATATCTGGAACACGTTCTCTGGAAGTAAATACCACCGCAAAATCAATGATATTGAATTTTTTGATATAATTAGCCAACATCACATGCAGGAAACTCGTCGTTTTGGGTTCAGTGACAAAATTTCAAGATGGCTACTAAGCGTAAAAATGATTCAGGGTCCAGAATGGCCTTAAGGAGTTGTAACGATTCTATAAACGATGGCATTCAATTCTATGACCCTATTACCAACGTGTTTTTACTTTGTTTATGTGCTACCATCGACACCAAATACCATTATTATATCACGGAGCAACCTCGAGTAAATTTTGCAAGAATAGAACTGCGAAATTGAGTAGGATAAATATACTATTAGGCTTAAACGATCATTTGTTTGGTTGGTAATCCGAAAAGACATCAGTATTGAAGCGTTTTTCCACGGAAGTCACCATACAAAGCAAACAAAGGCGAAAGAATCCAAACATTTTTGAACCAATACAAGTCAATTAAACCACCCAATTTTTGTAATCCCTTGATGAACATTTATGTAATATTAGCTTGAGTAAATTAATTAATTGAATTGTGGAAGGAATGCATGGGAAGTTTTCAGAATTCAGAATGAAGTAGTCTGACATCATTTCAACCAGTGCCACTTTCGAGAATTGTACAGCCGGAGTGCCAATTTTTAAGAATTATGATAAATTATTGACCTTGAACTTAATTCAAAACGAAACTAAAAAAGATTTACAATGGGATGGGTTCGCATACTTTTGCCGGATAACACTGGCTTTTATCTATCAACTCTGCCCCTACGTTACTTTTGGCATACATCCATTCTTTTTTACATTTATATTTCGCAACTTATCTGGAAAATATGTAGGTCTTTTGCCGTACCCTTTCGTCATCAGTATTTTTTCGCTTCTTACCCTTTTCGCTTCTTACCCTTTTTATAAACTTGAATCGCCACTCATTTAGAAAATTAATCTAATTATTTCATTTCACCAATCCCGTGTCTTCAGTCTGGTAAACAGGTCTTCTAAATTTGGCACTTTTATTTTGCGACTTATCTGAAAATAGGTCTTTCCGTTATCAGATAAATTTTACAGTATTTATAGGTATTAGGACAATTTTCTCGTTAGACTACCCGAATACCCTTTATTCATTGATTTTATTGTCTTGAAACACAGCACCAAAAAGGCTCAGATCAAAAGTAGGATAAAGTCGTTCTTTGATTATGAAGAAATCGAGTCCCCTTTTGAACTTTTCTGTATTAACACGATCATTCGATAAATGTGCAACGAGCGCGTAGGTAGAAACAACAGGTCAAAATACAAGTATGCAAATGTTTTAAGCAGCAATCATTCAAATTATTTATTGCAATTTCAATAGGACATCAAGTCGAACATATATTTTAGTTTCTTATCATTAAGTTATCGTTATAGATTATTTATTGGCCTCCGATCACCGTCTACGTGAAGTGGACATGGTAATTATACGGCAATCGTCTGTTAGTTTGTTTAAATTGCTCTTATAGGCTATGAAGTGGGGTTTGAAGTAGATCAGGACATGTCATTTCTGACTCGGTCCCTAATCCTATTTTAACGTGTTAACAGATCTTTGGTAACAGGTAGCCAAGCGATGTTTTAGCCACTGTTCCCCGGGTAGAGGTAGGCTGTATGTGTTGCCTTCAGTCACCACCAGCTTTAACTGCACAGTCGCAAATTGCCGCTCTTTTCTCGAATCGGTGAGGTGGCGTTGTCTTCTGAATCCCTTTAGCGGCGACTCTAAATCTGATCGTTTCTCCCCCCAGGAAGGCCTATAATGACTCGCGAGAGGGAATATTGCTATTCATGAGCAAAACAGAAAGAGCTTCGTATGGTTACCTACAATTGTTGAACGCCGTGAAAAAGTGAAAACAACTAACAATGATGATGCGGCAACTGCCCTTCATCCTCTGCAGGTAAATTAAAACTGGAAAGCCGAGGATAGTATGTGAGCCTTCACTGTATCGGGATGATTTCTTATTTGTTTATCAACTGAGGTTTCTTGATATCATTTTAAGAGTCACATCCGTTCGATATAAAAATGATGAGTTTAGCCTCAAACAGAATCACTCCCTTGGAGATCTACAACCCCGGTCTACAACGAAGGCCGGAGGACTTCTAGCGTCACCTGCACAACGTGAATCCGACCCTGATAAAAACAATAAATAAATTCGATTGAGAATTGAGACGGCCCACAACACAACAATTCGTTTTTGAAACGGTGTTCAATAGCACATCATACCCAATTGAACTCCTTCATATCAAATGATGAGATTGCGATGGCGCCAGAATCTCGTTGACCCCAGACCCCACTCGTACATATGACAGTTTTATATATCTCACCAGCCGAAAATTGCCTTGTAAAGTGGTGAAATGTAAAACAATATTTCATGTATGATCACTTCAATCGCCTCAAAAAGTGATGTAGGATCACATATTAAAATCCCCATACTTTGAATCCATGTCCAAGGTCATTCTGATACTCATAGCATCTTTCTGTTTCACCTGAAACATCCCAGGGCTGAGAACAAATGAGATGTCATGGTTTATCATGATGGTCCAAGGTATGTATGTAGGATTGAGATGGCCTTGTTAAAATTCATAACAGATAAATGAATCGCTAAAATAAAAGAATCCACTGATTTTCTGCGATTGAATCGAATATGTGGTACTTTCATTTTATTATATGAGCGTTCAAATTAACCCAATTAACCCTGAATCCCAGGGTTCCATTCCGAGGGTACACATGTGAGCCAATTAAGAATCATACGTGTCGCAAGCACATTATGGGAGCGCGGTGGGGGTCTCCTTTAATGCTTGTTGCAAAAATATTACGACCCAAGTCCACTAATTTCTTGCCATCGTAACAGATCTGTATCTCTTGATTCTACGTGCTCACAGTAAAACTTAAATATCAATCCGAGCATTACTTTAGTTGTGGTATATGGCAGCAAAGTCGTAACAATTTGTTATAGATCCAATCAAACGATGCCGAACGCTGGTCACACTAAATGATGACAATAAGGATATACATAGAAAGTGTGAGATATCAAATGATCAGAAGCCGTCTAGTAGCCGTCTTGTTGTCACTAACAGTACACCTAGTCAAATGGTGGCGCGAGTCTATTCTTGCACCTGTTTTCCTGAAATTTTAATATGATTTTTCAAAAATGGATAAAAATCAAAATCACAGAGTGACTTGCACCATCCACAGACCTTGTTTCGTGCCTTTTATGTAGATATTAGAAATATGAGGTATTCCTCACATTGTTAAATAATTTATTGTCTTCTAGAAACCATGAGGTGTATACCTTACAGCATAAGCCTTGGTCAGATTTGCTTTAAGGCGGCCGTGGATTCAAATAATTGATATAGAACATCTACATCATACTGCCTATTCCTTTATTTTATGCTGCATATTTCTCGATTTTTGGAAGCTACGTCAGTCGTACGGTTGCCGTAGTTCAGATGTGACTAAGGGATTATATATGTTATACCACTCACAAGGTGGGCATTTTTTCAAGCCTCCATATTCATCCATATTTTCGGAAAAGAATCCGTGCCAAGCTAACACAAACACAAAACAGTAAAATATAGTAGGTAGGATTTAATTGTATTTCATTGATTAATAAAATAGTGCCATGATAATATAATAATTTTATGAATAAGAATAAATTCCTAAATCAAACAATATTAAACTATATAGCAAGAATGATAAATAATGACAAAGAAAGTCAGTTAGAGTATAAAAATGATAAATGATAAAATATATGAATCTATATTTGTATTGTTATAACATAAAGCATGAGGCTTTGATAATAAAAATCCAGGCTTCAATTAATATAAATACTATCGACTACATATTTACTAGAAATGTACTTGTTGAATATATTAATTAATTAAACTAAATGAAATATATATAAGTAATACAGGCTAAAACCTTTGCATAATATTCCATGTTTATCTTTTCAGTAACCATAGTAACCTATGTAAAAGGCATGACCATGGGTTACTAGTAAATGTTTAACGTATTATACCATGTATTTTAAAAATGAGTGTATAAATGACAAATATTAAAATAAAGATTCATGAAAATTGGGAGACTATCCTCAATGATAAAATTGAAACATAGGCATTGTTCAGAGGCAAAGAGAGAAGTACACAAAATATACACTGTATGTCATAAATAAAGTTCAAATTATTAATACTTGAGTGCATGTTTTCTGCTATGAGTTAACTCAAAGGTTTCACAGCTAAATACTACACATAATCAATTTCATTAAAGGCCCTGTGTAAAGCTGGAATGAGAGAAATTTTTTGAGTTGAACAATATGGCTCCCAAATTCTTAAATTTAATTTCACATGACAGTATTTAGCTATCGAAAGGGCTTCTTCTAAACGGAAGTGATTGTGTGGAGAGACATGAGGTATCGTCCAAAATGTAACCCTGTAAATATTAACCCATGAAGAATCTGTTTCTTAACAGGAACTAGTCAATACATTGTAGCAGTTGAGGTGGTAGTCTTGTATCAAGTCAGACCCAAAAATATACATTTCCCAAATTGTATGCAAGGAAGAGTATGTGAGTAACTTCAAAACAGCTAAAACTGAGCTTACTTTGTACCTCAACTGATAAACTAAATTCCTTCAGTTACCATAACAACATTTAAATTGGTAATAAGTTAAACCATTCTCTTTGCAGAATTAAACATGGAAACAGGAAAATACAAAAACAGCATAATATGAGAAAAACAATTTTTGAGAATATTCACAAAAAGGAAAGTAAAACCACGAAAATAAAGCTGAATACATTTCCTTGACACTATTTTCTGAAAGTTTCTAGAGGACTCTTTGTCAGCAGTGATAGACCATGCTAGTTATAATATTATTCTCTATACATATTTACATCTGTATCGACTGTACATTTTAAAACTTGTTTTAGCTGTACATGTTAACTTTGTATTTGCTGTACATGTTAAAATTTATTTCAAATATACATGTTAAAACCAACATTAAGGTAGGCCTAGAAGAGTAAATTGCCATGTGCCAACAGGTTCCATAATTATCCTGCAAGGCCCACCTTAACTTGAAAACACCAATGAAACTTCATTGAAATATCGTATTGCTTGTTAAAATTGGTTATTCCCACCTAAATGCGTTGAATGCGCAACTGCTCCATTCAAAAATATATTACCATTTGAATATATCGACACACTATCCACTAAAGTTAAGTTTCACTAAAAAACAAAATGGCTGCCTCGCATGTTAAAACCTCATACAATAATTATTTCTGTTATTTTGTAAATGGTATTAATCTCATGTACACATTAATATGAATCCTTCGTCAGAATAACTTGATTAACGGCACCAATATTTCGGTGATGCTAAAATGCAACATTTGATTATGCACGATTGCTGTTTAATAAAAAGAAACCATGATATATTGTATCATTTTAGTGTCGTTCTTTCATTTTACAGTGATTATTGTATTATTTTATGTGTCATCATTGCATAACAATAAAAGGCATTAACATACCAGATGTTACTACCTGCCATTTGTTACATATTATGACTGCTGTTGCATACACCAAACACCAGTCACAAAAAATGGAGACTATAACAATAAGTTACCACTTCTGGTGGTGACATAACAAGTGATAATACAATGTGACAACCCCAATGGCAGCTTTTGATCTCATGAACATTAGGGTCAATGCTTATGTCCTGAACACAAAAGTTATATAAATGATTTGATCAAATATAAATTCTCTTTAATCTACTACAAATATATTCTTGTGATTATTCCAAGTTATCAACTTCTAATCCTTTCTATGATTGGTTAATAATTATGTTGTAATCTTGATTGTGATTGGTTGTATAACATATAGTTATTTTGATTCTCTGGACCTCTCCGGTGCATGTTTGGTGAGCTGTGACTAAGGGGTCCATTTGGCATTGGCACTGTCATTGTAGGGGGTCTTAATCCTCCTGGTGAATCTTGAGAATCTGAAAATAAGATTTAAGCTTTCTCTTAAATAAAGTAAAATGATCCCATCACGCTAAATTCAGAAAACCCATTTTACAGACTATCATGTTCCATACTGAAATGAAATCATGGAAGTTCCCTAAAAAAATGAGTGCATTTTTCATTCTTTATCATAAAATCATCACTGCATTTTAAAACAGAATCCTTAAATACAAAGGTTGGAAAGTCTATGTACAGTTCCCATTCAAAAAAATCATCACATATTTGTCATGTTTACACTCACCATATTTAGAAGCAGGTGGGGGTGGGGGTTGGTTGGTGCGCTTCATAAATAGTCGAACTGTGGGGCCTCCACGCTGGATTAGGTTGATGGCCTGGGCATGGGTCATGTTATTAGTACTAAAGCCATTCACTTCTAACAGCTGGTCTCCAACCTGTAAATGTGCAGTGAACATTGTAAATCCAGAATTCTTATGAAAACAGGGCTTTGAGAGTTATATGTTGAATAGTGATACCAAATTTAAACCTTTATCCCCTACATTTATAAATATAATACTGGAATGCATGTTAAGATGTCTTCAAAAAATAATGTTTGCTCAATTTCTGACTTGGACTACAATATGAGCCAAGGTGGTTTGAACTTTACACAGGGCCTTTAAAGTTTAAAATAAACTCACCAATAACCGTCTATCTAGATCAGCTGCCCCTCCCTCAGCAATACGTAGTACATATAAGGGCATGCCACTAAATTCCTCGCCCCCTCGTATTGAGAATCCAAATCCCCGAGAGCCACGGTGTAGCTCCACAGAGTAATACTCATTGTCAGAGTTATCAGACCCAGGTGACATCTATAATGAATTAAATGTTTTATTTTTACATGAATGGAAGGGTGCAAATAATTCAACTATATTATCTCTAGCCATGATTATTTCACTCAATTTCTCTCTAAAATTTGAATAATATGTCGGATTTTCTGGCATTTCTCTACAATTTAGAATCTTAACCACATTCCTGTTTATTCAATACATCACCAATTTCACTCTTTCCCGCTGTATTTTGAATTTCAAAATGTGACTCACTTATCATTTTGCAAAATTGTTACATTGTTACTCACCTTAGGGGAGGTTATCCTCTGTCTGGCAAGTGCCTTGTGCCTTTCAATGATCTGTTGCTGGTGGCGTCTGTCTGTGGGTGACTGATAGGGGGACTGGGAATGTCCTGACATCCATGAGTCACTTTCACTCATAGCGGGAAATGCCGTTGCATTCATCATTGAGCCTTGCGAACTCTGTAACACATCAAATGACCATGGTCAAACCTCTTTGTACACATTGTATCATAAATACAACTCAGTGTGGGACATAGGCACAATAATCTATGATCTAATATTGAAGAAAATAAAAGAGCATTTCAATGAGAAGAACATTCTCTATGATTCAGCAATTATATTCAATAATGTAAGGTAAAATTGTAATTTATCATGTAATTGTACTTAACATGTAATATGTAAAATTGTAATTTAGCATGTAATTGTACTTAACATGTAATATGATGTCATAGTGTACACTATTTATGAATGACATCACAAATCTCTGATGTTGCTAGTTGACAAAATACTGATGTCACAGAAAGTTCAAAGGGTCGAGGTGAAATTTCATGAATTACTAGATCAAAGTACCAAAGCCTGGAACTAAATCCACATATATGATGTGACCAAGTCCTTTGTAAAAATGTGGATAAAGTTGACTCACCCGTTGAGATGTTGAGGTTGTACTTGAGGTATCATCTGCAAAAACATTCACATTCATACATGTATTAAACAAAGATGGCAAAAGGATCAAAGTTAAATCTTGCTTACTTGATTTCATTAATTTCTCATTTCAACTTTTTTTCTCACTTTAATATTAATGTATACTATTCTCAATAGTGAGTAATTTTAATTACAGGTATATCATGGTCATTTCAATATCAATATATTCAATGTATATAGTATGTTATGTTTCTAAAAATATTACTCTGAATGTAGAAATATACCCAGAGCGTACCCAGAATGTGAAAATATACCCTAATGTATACAGAATATGAAAATACACCCAGAATGTAGAAATAAACCAAGAATGTGAAAATGTTCCTAAACGAGATACTGATCACTCTTATCTGGGATATCAATAATTTGGAAAATATAAAAACAAAAAATAATGTTCACATCACATCTTACCTTGGGGAGGTCCTACAGTGAGTGTACATGCATAGCCAGAGTCTTTAATGAGATTAACAATGTCTTCATGGTGCATCCTCATTATCTCCACACCATTAACAGCGAGAATACGGTCACCAATATGCAGCTTTCCACATCGTTCAGCGGGACTATTTTCAATGATCCTCCCTTAAAATAGAGTTAAAAAACTCCAATTATTTTCTATTATAAAAACACAGAAATTTGAATTTCAGAATCAATGCATAAATAGGGTTTAGTTTCATAAAGAAAATCAATGTGATTTCACTTCTACAAATAAGCTATATCTGCATATCAAATGCATTGTTAGTGAACCACTCGTAACTAAAAACTAATAACAAAAAGGCGAAACTAATACCAAAAATAAACTAATGAATTAATAAATGCCAAAATAAGCAATTTCTAATAAATAAATCAATTTTGGATTTTCCGAAATGATAAAATCGATTAGATTGTATTAAATTCTATTAGATCAAAAAAAAAAAAAAAAAAAAATCAACAATGACCATAATGTTCTGCATCTATAATTATAAAATTAATCATCGTTTAAATAAGAGGTTTCTTATTATACAAACCAACCCAAGTGCAGTGATACATTAACAACTTATGAGTGATTTAATTTGATTAAATATAGTTATGCCAAATTAAACCTGGAAAAAGCATATCTTCGTAGATATGAAAATATTACCAATATTTAGTAAACAAACAACCTATATTCTACAACATGCTTAATATAATATGTAAAATCCAAATAAATCAATTTGCAAATCAAAAATTAATGAATTAATCAAAGCAGAACAAATTGTCTAGTTACGTTGAATTCAAAATTCAGTTATGTAATTTTTTTTTTATCAAACTACAACATTTTTACAACAACAAATCTGTGATTTGGTTCAGCCATTTTTGTGACAATTTCAAACAAATTTTAGTGCAAAATTTCTTAATAAATGTTCATACTGACAATTATCCTTACCTATATCCACTACAGGTTCTCAAAAATGGGGACCATTTGAGAAAGAATTGTTAACTCAATTGTCTAACTATCAAATTTATTCAGAATATAGAAACAAATGTACCAGATAAGTTAACAGCTCTAAATTATAGGAATTTCTATGGTTTATAGAGCTTTTGAAAAATTCTGGGATAAAAGAATCACTCAAGTCAACACAACACACATCCCTACGCCTTAAGGTGTCTTCTAAAATTGAAATAATTAAACAGAAAGCAATGATCCCTATATATACATATATAAATAAGCAAATAACATTTAAACACAATAGAAAATATAAAAACAAAAAGCCGATAGTGGATATTAATCAGTCAATTGTTGGATTGTTGAAAGATTACAGTATGCACATGTATTTACATCAAGTGATACATTTCAATTACAGGTTTTGCAGTAATTAATGCCTGAGTTTAATGGCCTAGTCACATAGCCCGGCCGATGAGGTTCCGATGAGCCAGCGATGCAATTTTCACCGAACTCGGCCGAACACCGGCCGGACATCCGTGGCGTTTGTTTCTTAAAACCGCATCGGTGGCAGCTCGGTGAAATTTTAACTTCGGAGTTAAATTTCACCAGGCTCTCACCGAGCTCCCTCATCGCAGCCCCATCGTAACCACATCAGAACACACGTCGGCCGGTGCACGGCCGAGTATCGGTCGGTGTCCCATGCATCTGAGACAACCAGAGGACGAGGTTTTTTTAACGGACACCGGCCGAGCTCCGACCGAGCTCCGGCCGATGTGGGACAGAGCCTTGGAAAGTATAGTACCTGAAGATGTCCGGACGGAGTCCGTTCACGTCACCGAGCTCTGCTTCCGATGAGGAGAGCTCGGTGGCACCAAAAAAATCCACCGAGCTCTACCGATGCCGGACATCGGCCGGGCTATGTGACTAGGCCATTACATGAAGTTTCAGCAAGAAAATTGGATGGAATGAGAGGAAAAATTTCAAAACTTTTTGGACAACCCTCGTATACAGTATGTGCATTTTAACATTCTCAATTACAAGTTTTTAGTACAGAACCAAATTGTAAAGGCTTTATGTTGTTTATATTGACTATGTGACGTAAGATTGTGAGGATTAATTAATTATGCTGTGATGTGTTATTCTCACCGATCCAAGGGTTAATCCTAGCTGGTGCCATCCAATCACGTCCTAGAACATGCATGTTAACATACTGTATAAATCACACATCATGGACATATGAAAGGGGGAGAGGCATCTTTGTAATTATATATAATGCAAAATGTCACCACCTGCCATTTGTTACAGACACCAAACTCAAAACGCTGACTGCCACGGGATGCCGAACACTGTCCACAAAAGTTGGAGACTATAACAAAATGACATCAACACTTGTGGTGGTGACATAATAAAGGGAGGTGCCTCGTAGATTTTCCACATATGTAAGAGTGGGGACTTGTAAATCAAAAACTGTCAATAGATCAGTCTTAACTACATCAAATATCTGATCCCAATATAAAAATACACAGGGATTCTGTTTTGGCACGATCATAACTTACGATTCCGAGAAAACCATTGTCTACTTTTTTCCAAACAATGAGTTTTGACCATATCATAAGTTATGACAGTTCCAAAAACAGACACCTGAGTCTCAAAAGACGACTGAATTCATCTGTTTGTTTTCAGGGTTACTGTATTATCCCAAAGAGCTATGTACCAAAAGGCAATATAATGATGTCAAACCTAAACCATGATAATGACTTACAGACAAAATTACTCTTCAGTATAATGCATAAATCCCATTCATTCAATGAAAGACCCATGATTGTACTACATACTCGGATAGCATCCATACTCCAATTAAACCATGAGCTGCACAGAGCAGATATGATCGGTTTATCAATGCCCGGATCATACCACAAGATTGAGCAGCAGTTTACTGTATGATCAAGACTTGGTTGATCGGGGCATGGATACTTCTCGTGATGCATATGTCTTGATTACTCCTACATTGACACACACACATAACTATATTAATTCTAAATGTTACATTAGCAGTGAGAACTAAAGGAAAGTGAGCATGCATGGAAATCTATGATATCGAGAAAGGTACAAATATTATATTGCAATAGTTAAATAAATAAATAATATAAATAAATAATAATAAAAAAATGAAAGGGAAAAAAATATGAAGGAGTGAATGACATGAAAATCATATAAGTTACACTATTACATATAAACATGTTAGAATTTGATCCGAAATAAAAATATAATATCATCTAAGTTTAAATTGACAGTCTTACCTATTGACTCCCCGACTGTTGTTCCTGCTTTTGTAACAGACGAAATGATGACGAATCCAAATCCCTCATTTTCACGACGTGTAACAGTGACATCGTAGGGGTATGTTTCATGTTGCATTGGTGGTACTCTGTGAGGTGAATCTACAATTACGGCAACAAAAAATAATTAAATGTTTTCAGAAATAGCATTAGACGTACATTGATCACAATTTTTATGCATGTAAGCATCTATTGTCTGCTCAATTGATGTCATGGAAATAAGTTTAGAGACTGGGCCATAATGGTGGCACCAAAGAACAAATTGTTTGAAATATTTTGCTTTTTCCTTCACAAAAGTGTGATGTTTACCAAATCCAAAATACACAATGGTTCTTGCATAAAATGATGCATATATGGCACACGATTTTTATACAACACTTATCAATTGCAAATTCACTATACCTGGTCCCATTTTGCGTCTGATGCCCAGAGACACGCGTCCTGCCAGTGATGCATTGCCCATGAGTTCTACAACCTTGTGGTGTGAGGATCCTATGACATTACACCCATCTATAAAGAGAATCTCATCTCCTTGTTGTATTCGCCCATCTATATCACTGGCTCCTCCTGGCACTATATGACCAACTGCAACCTTTGGAAGAAAATAAAATAATAAATTCCATCTCGCATAAATCTTACTTATAATATACATGTAGTTTTTAACTAATTTACATGTTGCTGTTAGCTTTTGACTTAAAGGAATATTCCAGGTCTTGATGTGGTTTACCTTACTAATTTTCTACTGAACTGATGTATGTTTTCACAAAATATTAGGTAAGAACATTAGACAATGTGTCATTAACCATGTAATCGACACAGAGAAAAACATATTTGAGTTATACGAGTGGTATGTTCCTTCAAGAAAAAACAGTGATTGTTTTATAGTTTTTAATTCTATAATATATAATTTCGCTGACTAAGTGCCACATCACACCACATCAATTATCTTAATTTTACATCAATCAATGCAGCGCTTGCATTAGATTAGAAAATTTGTGAGTCCCAAGGACGCAATTTTTTTTAAAAAGTGTATCCTTTGAAAAAAAAGTGTGTCCCTTATTTTTCAGTTTTTGATTTCTTGCCGCGAACTTAAAACGGAAGTAAACGTTAAGTACGGACTGAATAAATGCATGTTCGTTCATTCGACAATGAATACATTTTATTTCATGAATAACCTAATATTTGTTTCTGAATAGGAAAAACTGTGGCGTGTCATGGTTTCAAATCTAAAAATAAACAGTCGAAAAAATTCGAGAGAATCATGATTATTTGTAAATATTCAACATGTTGAGCCTTATTACGATTCAAATAAAGGTGAGAGATCATAATTATTTGTTTTTGTTAGGTATCGTTGTAAACACATTGTAGTATTGACCTAAAAAAAATTTGCATCCAAAAAACGGAAATATTTTCAATTTTTGCGTCCTCCAAATTATTTTTGAGTGCTTAACATGTACGGGACGCCGTTAATGCAAGCCCTGCATGGGATGTATTTCCTAGAAATACTTTTTCAATTTTTACAGTAAATTAGGTTACCTGTGATCCCTCTTCTTTCCCTCCTATAATCCTGAATCCAAAGCCACTCTCAGTTCTCTGTAGAAAAACAGTCATTTCTAGATATTTCTCCTCTTCGCTCATGGCACGTCTTACTGGTGGTTTAGCCATATTAGGAGATCGGTTATGTGGAAGCGTGTGAGCAGAGACAGAATTGGTCATTCCAGGTTGATTGTGCTGCCATCTATCATGACGTGGGACCCGTGTGAGGTTACTCGGAGTGGGCTCCGAGTGCTCAAAGGAAGTGCTTTGTTTACGAGGGTGTGGTTTTCCTTGGTAGCCCCCAGGGGGTGAGAACTGACCGTGAGGGGGGACTCTCCCACCTGGATCACCACCACCTACATGATTCCCATAGGGAGCATAATTTTGATAATTCTGGTAACTATTATGTGATGCGTAACTAGATGATGATGAATTGAGTCTATTCTGTGTATTCGGAGATGCTTGTGAGGATGACGTATTTCTATTATCCATATATGGATTAAAATCAGGGGCAGCTGAAACTGGTCGAGAAACTCGATTTGTTGGGCCCCTGGTATCAACATAGATGTCTTTCTCATAGTTACGTGCTGGAAGAGCTGGGTTTTCACTATATGGGTCATGATAATTTTGTTGTTTACTAGTGGGACTTTGTAACATTGAGGCAGGGATAAAATCAGGGGTGCCACTAGTACTGCTGTATCTTTCCTTCCTCATGTCTTGGGCCGTTGGGGTTTTTGGACGATTATAGTAATTATCTGGTGGTGGTTTTCGATCACGTTGCATCATTTCCGGCCCTGGTGTACGACTTCTATGCATCTGTCTCTGCTGATCTGATGGCTCGTCCTGACCATACTCCCAACGATCACGTAAATCATAAGCAGATCGAGGACGGCCGTGATTAACAAGTGGTCGATTCTCCTCATAAAACTCCCCAGCCTTGTGCCGAATAAAATCTCCCCGATCGACACTTCTCTGGGGTGGAGGGAGCTCCCTTCTAGTATTAACACCAGGGTCATAGTAGTTGCTATAGCTTTCAGCACGCCTCGGGAGCTGATTTCCTGTATGATTTACATTGCTATTTTTCTCCTGCGACCTATATCCTCGAATAGACTGTTGTGCTATATTATTCTGATTTTGCATATCAGTAAAAGGTGCCCTTGAGACTACATTAGTCTGCGGTGGCACTTGCATATCTCTGGTAGGAGTTTTACTCCTGATATCACCATTGAATTCTGTGGTTGGGGTCTTAGCCCTAAGGGGTTCTGGCTTCCTCTGAGGTTCGACCGTTGGTGTTTTTGCCCTTGGTTCCGTCGGGGTCTTAGTACGGGTTAATTTGATTGGACCAGCAGGTTGGATTGGTTTCGCAGCAACAGCTGGAGGCTCCTTGTTAACAACTTGTGGTTTTCCAGTTTCTGAAACATACATATATAACAATTAATAGTAAATTATGAGTCAAGAAATATTTTGCTAATTGTGAGTAAATAGGCACCAACACATTATCCTATTCAGTGATCTCCCTAGGATTTTTTCTCAGGCTGGTGCAAAATTCTCATTTTCACAATCCAGACCAAAATTTGTCAAAATATGCCAATTTTTGATGATTTTTCTCATTTTCAAGTGGGTGCAAATGGATTTTCAGGTGGGTGTAAGCCTATTTTCAAAATCTCAGGTGGGTGCTGTGCCCACTTGCTTTAATGCTGGGGAGATCACTGCCATTATTTTGAATAAGTTTTCAATCAAAATAATGATGTGGAACCTGTTTTTCAATCAAAATAATGTGATTACTCAATGTTGTCAGTGTATCCTTTGTATACACCATTTAATCTTTGTAATTACCAAAAATTGCTTTCTTTTTTCCAATTTTCCTCTTCAGCCTCTCTGATATTAAGTAACCTTTAGAAGTACTGTCACCACACCCTGCATCAGACACAGAGAGTGTCAGTGTGCATCAGTATATCAAATTTTCTATGTGTGATTAGATGTTTCTCTTGCAGTAGACTTGTGTGTTTGTCTCGCATACATATCCGGCTTAACCAATAAACCTTAAGTGCTGCTTATAATGCGGATATATCAAAGTAACTATTTACGAACATCTTGACACGCTGGATGTCATACAGGGAATAAAACAAACATAAAAAACATGATAAATCTATACAACAATTGAATATGATCGCATCAAGGTAACTTATATCAGACTCATGAATAAAACGGTCGTGACGAGGAATTGGGGGTACAGCAATGGAACCTGGATATTTAAATCAGATTATTACATATCTAGTCTGGTATAGGCAGATCATATAACTTGTAATATTCATAGAATATTTGTGACTTTTCAGTCTTCCTCAACAACCTGTGTGATACAACCATCCGCTTGATAAAACTCCCTATGTAACACTGGCGTGACATTACCTCCCCCCTGTTTCCTGAATGACATAACTTCTCACTGTATGACATAACCCCCATGTGAAACAACCCCATATGTAACACCGCCTGCATGACCCCTGTGTACTGTATGACAAAACCACTAATTGTATGACATAACCACCTTTGTAACACCCCCTGCGTGACATTAAACCCTGTGTACTGCATGACATAACCACTAATTGTATGACATAACCCCTTTGTAACACCCCCTGCGTGACATTAAACCCTGTGTACTGCATGACATAACCACTAATTGTATGACATAACCCCCTTTTTAACACCCCCTGAATGACATTACCCCAATATACTGTATGACACAACCACTCACTGTATTATATTTGCAAGCCATCAACAACCCATAGAATAATTTCCTCCAATATGTAGGCTAGTAATGGACCATTTATAAATACAGGATATTATCACAAGCTGCTGACTTGCCTTACATGTATCCTCATGAGACGCAATCTATTCATTCAAAAAAATAGAAAATAGAGGTCTGCGCAACCCCTAGAGAAAACGAATCCTCCATCAATCGCTAATTAATAAGACATTTCAATGTGACATTTTTATAATCATCTTTAATATTACAATGATTTATGATAAAATACATTGCAGGCAGATTTTATTACAGATTTTCTAATCACGTTTCTATGAATCACTCTCATAACAATGAAAAGTTAACAGAATAAATGAAAATTTGAAAATATGAAATTTTCTGACAAACTACAGGTTTTTAGCATAATGCTGTTAATGACCAAATAAACTTTGTGTTTGACAGAATACAAAGCAAGATTCTCAGAGTTACAAACTGAATATCACAGACAATAGTCTAGCAACAAGCCCCTGTGCCACAAGTTGTAAGTCCAGTTGTGTAGATAGTCCAGGGTCTCGAAGCAAGACTACAGAGATAAACTTTATCTTTGGGAGTTGAGGTGGTTGAACTAAAACCAGTGATTATGATACTATAGTCTACTACTAGTTTTCCCAGTCAATAGGATGAACAAATCTCTATGTAAAGATGAAACTATAGAGATTCATCTAGCTTGACATGGAGAAAAGTTCTTCTATGAATTCTGGGATATCACCCTCTCTTGTTGCATACATCCATTTATCCTATGCCAAGTAGAGTTTTAGGGAGATAAGTTGGTAAGATATATCCCGTATCCTGATTTTGAGGTTTCCATATCCAGAACCTCTGTATCTCTCGCCATATCTCCCGCTTCGGTGCATATCTTCCCGCTTCGGTGCATATCTTCCCGCTTCCGCTAAGTAGTGGAAATGCAATAAAATGACTTTGCATATGAATGATTTGTTTATTTTTACACCTTGTACTATTTAAATGGCCATGTGCCCCTGAAAACTCTACTTGGTATAGGATAAAGCAGTTATGTACGGTCGGTTTTGGATATTGGGTTCATCCCTCGTGAGATATGCACATCTACCTTCGGTTCCTACGGTCCCTCAGGTAGATATGCATATCTCCCTCTGGATAAACCCCATATCCAAAACCTCCCAGTACATAACCCTTATTTATAGAAGGGGAACTACTTTCAATTCAAAAGATATCAATAAATTGAGTGAGGGGTCAATTTGAAATGTTATTTGTTCTATTTTGATATATAGCATCAAAACACTGACCTAGTCCCTCAGATACTAATAACATATATTACAAGGCATTGACATGCAAAATGTCACCACCTGCCATTTGTTACAGAGGCTGAACAGACTGCTGAATGACGAACACCAACCACCAAACACTGCCTCCCAAAAATTGGAGACTGTTACAATATGTTACCATTTTCACAATGGTGACAAAATAGGTAAAATAGTTCACTTTGCCACTATACCTGCCACTATATAAATCCACTTAGGCATCTTTCAATTGTTATATCTCCTGACTGGGGCATCGATCAGGATTTACCTACAACTGGCTCTAATTATAGAGATCCATGTAGAAATTACTGTCATGCTATTTTACAATGAAATTAAGGTAGGTGGCATATATTATAGTGAGTGATCTGACTAATTGTTCTGTTATCTGTCTTTTGTGTTTATATTCACACTTCTGCCTTCCTTATTCAGAAAATATTTTTGAGAAAGTCAAAATTACATTGTTGGTTTACGTGTTTTTGTCTGATAAGATCCTTTACAAGTATAAAATATACAGACACTTCTTCACAAATTTGATGATCTTAAATAGTTGGTTTTTATTTATTTAGTACCATTTTGCAGAGTACTGCAAATGGTTGAGAGTATTTTTCACCTAACTGAGAATCTGAAAGTTATACATAAGCCATTTGATAATCATAAAATAACACTGAACCCATTTGAGAACATGAAGATTTTAGAATATCATGGAAACTGAAACGATTTCTCTGAACATCTTTTAGTCAGATAGGTAAAATGGGAATTATGCACTCAGTGAAGAATAAAACCACAGAAAAACTTTGGTCGAAATAAGACTCTTTCACACAACATTGCAGTCTAATAAATAATATATATCATCCTTTACCTAGATGATAAAATGCTGAATTCGCCAAGCCACGGTCATCGTACATGTATTTCAACCGGAAAATAAGCATATTAACTAGTACACCGGAGATGTTGTACCTTAGAAGTATAAGTGCACAATTTCATGACTAATTGCTGATTGCTAAGTATTAGTCCGTCCAAACCCCGTCAATATCTACTCTGTAAGTTCCTTTTATAGCATCACAGTTTAGGGCAAAGCAACAAGAATTTAGAACAAATTAGGTGAATTAATCGGTTACTGACCATTTTGCATTTTATAAGTTCCTTTTAAAGCATCACAGTTTAGCGCAAAGCAACAAGAATATAGAACAAATTAGGTGAATTAATCGGTTACTGACCATTTTGCCTTTATAAGTTCCTTTTATAGCATCACAGTTTAGCGCAAAGCAACAAGAATATAGAAAAATTAGGTGAATTAATCGGTCACTGGCCATTTTTTGCCTTTCAAAAGTTCCTTTTATAGCATCACAGTTTAGCGCAAAGCAACAAGAATATAGAACAAATTAGCTGAATTAATCGGTCACTGGCCATTTTTTGCCTTTTATAAGTTCCTTTTATCGCATGACAATTTAGCGCAAAGCAACAAGAATATAGAACAAATTAGCTGAATTAATCGGTCACTGGCCATTTTTGGCCTTTTGGCAGCTTTGGAGTAGACTGTACATACTCAACTCCATGCTTCGAGTGATCAATATTCGATTGTAGAAAAGCAATTCTTGTATGTATAATTTGACTAATGGACAATCAACTAGATTATCTTTTTTGTATTATATTTATCATATGAATACTAGGCCAACTAATTATCCTTTGCTCTTTATCATAGTATTAAAGGCATCTACTTTTTATTGATCATTCACATAATATTTTCATTGTCCGCATGCAACATGACCATGCATCAGGATCACTATCTTATCATGTATGATCACTCTCTTATCATGTAGGATCACTCTCTTATCATGTATGATCACTCTCTTATCATGTAGGATCACTATCTTATCATGTACTAAACATTGTGAATTTTATGAGATAAAACAGGAATGTTGTACATAAAGCATATTTTCATAATGCCAACTTGAAAAAATTCAAAATCTGATTTCAGATAAGCCAGATAAAATCAAAGAATTTTTGAATTCAAAGAGTGGAAATTAGGTGCTTCTCTGATAAAGGGGAAGTGAAGAAGTGCCTGCTATTTTTACAGCAAATTAAATGTTAAGTACACATTAAAGATTTCACTGTCTGTCTGGTATATATAATTTACAATTCTTGCCTTTATATGCCTTCCTTCAGAAAAATGATACCAGTACCATCATAATTTCTTTATAGATATTTATGGCTCATTTGTGGTGTTGAATTTCTTATGTACACACTTAATCCCCTTTCGTCTGTATCATCAATATAGATTTTATCCCATTTGACTGAGAGACGGCTCGCCTCTATGGTTTACAATTATATTGTA